TGTGCTACAACATCCATTGTAGACTAGTATCACTTTGCTGTGCTACAACATCCATTGTAGACTAGTATCACTTTGCTGTGCTACAACATCCATTGTAGACTAGTATCACTTTGCTGTGCCACAACATCCATTGTAGACTAGTATCACTTTGCTGTGCCACAACATCCATTGTAGACTAGTATCACTTTGCTGTGCTACAACATCCATTGTAGACTGGTATCACTTTGCTGTGCTACAACATCCATTGTAGACTAGTATTACTTTGCTGTGCTACAACATCCATTGTAGACTAGTTTCACTTTGCTTTGCTTGTCTTACACACCACGTTGTGTGTGTGAGTCGTTCAGCCCCTCTAGAACTGCACAACGAGTGATAAACAACCATGACACATGCCACCATTCTGATAAGGATCACCTGGGCACAAGTCCCAGAAACCCCATTCAACCTGTTAGGTTATATTAGAGCCCCCGACTACAGCTGAAAAAAAAGTTGGGGGGGGGGGGGGAATAATGAAAAATTGCTTCCCACATTTTGATGTGAATAACACCGCCAGGTTCTAACAATTTTTAGCTTTACTTACCACATCTGAGTTTGTATGTTGTCCAGGTTTCACTTTTTATGAAAGTTTTGTATGATATTCCAGTGAGATTATGCTGAATGTGGCTGTCTTATCCACATGTGTCAGTCCTATTCGGAGTAACTTCGACTTTTTCTTAGCTTTCAGAAGCTAACAGTTTTGGATGGATTTTGCAGCCAAGTTTACTACAGGATAAAGTGGCTAATCTAACAACTTTCCATATTTGCCGATTATCGTAAACATTGTTATTTAGCGTTACTACTTTTCGCTTTCCGCTGGGCCTTGTAACATCCAAACCTTATTGAAACCGGTAGCCGCCGTGATGTAGTGGTTAGACGCTTAGTCGTGAGTTCAAGCACGTCCATCTTTAGACTATAAATTTAAAGCTACAGAAGGGCCTGGTTAAAGTTCGCATGGAGTAGCATATTTTTTCGTTAATGACTTTGGCTCCAAGTCGCCTTAAAGGGGTACCAGGTGAAGTCCTGGGAAATCAAGGCGACCAGCATGATTTTGACCACATCTAGCGAGGTGGTATATAAAAACATGAGTCTAGCCTTAGATGCCAGATACGCTACTGGCGTCTAATGGGAGCTTTGCTTGCTTACCTGCTGGGGCGTGTAGAGGTCACAGAGGTAGTTCATGCTGTGTGATTGTCGCTGGCACGGGAACGGAACAGTTGATGGGGTGACCCATTAGCGAAGTTGAACATGTGACTATCTAAATGCTGGTATTCCTGCATCAAATGTTTACCTGCCATTTATTTAACCAGTCACAGTTACACCAAGGAGCTATGTTGCTGCAGTAGTCACAGACGCAGGAACCTGGGGGGGGGGGGGGTTCCAGGCACTTTGCCCCCCCCCCAGTTTTTTTTTTTTTTTTTGGGTGTGTGTGCAAGATAATAGTTTCCCCGTCCAAGCGGGCCGCCGCATACAAAAACTGAGAATCTGGGAGTGAGGGGGGGGGGGGGGTGATTGCTAAACTCATACATGTTTTGCCACTTAATCTGAAGTATTCGTCTTAGGCATTGCTAAGTTATTAGCCATCATTTCTGGTGCTATAAGTTGATCGTTTTGAATACTGTATAGAACCTAATAGACAAGGTTCGTCTTTCCCATGAGCTTTCTGTTCCTGGGCATTGATTTCTTGGTCAATGAATTTAATTTATAGACTGAGGCTCTCATATATGTAAAGTGGTCAGTTGTCTTCAATATCAATGTCTTTGACATGGCTTGCTTGTATCCGACTGCGTAAGAATCTGTATCTTCTATATTGTTGATTTTCAGACCCACGTGGTGACAAGTAACGGCCAATGCATATAGTAAACTTTGCAGTTCTTTCTCTGAGTGGGTGGTAATTGCGGCATCCCCTGCAAAGAACAGTTGTCTGATGTGAGCCACTTTAGATGTTTTACATCCAGGTTTAGATGTTTTTCCTTGCATTTAGATGGCGTTTTGACGTTTAGATAGTAGATGTCTTTCTAGATTGTTTTCATTTGGAGTGAATTTATCAAATCTAACCCAAGAAGCATGATGAAATTTGACCTCCTAAATGCTATCTTGACAAAAAAATCCGCATGATAAGAGTAGGAAAAGGCTGTTCCACTTATCAGTTTCCTGGCTGGGTATTAAAAGAAATTGGAACAGCTAAAACATACCAGTCATTTTGGATCTGAAGCTTCAACTTCGTCATCCAAGCTAAGTCTATTCTGTGGATCTTGTAAGGCAGACTTCAGTAAAGATGAGGACATGATTCTATACGGTAAGTCATATCAATCGCTATGTAATTTGTGACTCTTTCCATTTGGATGTTTTTTCTATTTGTTTTCCACGCAAATTTAGATGTTTTTAGATATTTTTGACTCCGTTTTGGATTTTTTTTGTCAAAGAAGTGGCAACACTGGTTGCGAACCTTCCTAAACCTCGTCTTTGTTTTCAGTTTGTGCCGCATCAAGATCCAGAGGCGAAGATTATGCAACCATACTGATCTGGAAATATTATTGACACTATAAATGCTAGAACAATATTTATGGTAGGAAAATATTATCTGGGACTTCAAAGTATGTTGTACAACATTATAGCAACAACGACGATGGCTGTTTATTCACATTTCGCAGATGAATATTTACTTTTGCTTGTCCAGACTTGCCAGCTACTTCCCATTCAGATTAGGTGAAACACAAATGCCCCGGTGGTCCATTTGTAACACAATACAGGTCAGGTGACCTCGATTTAAGCCGATTGATTTCTGGAGAAAGGCAGGATGAGGTGTGCGAGAAAAGACCATTTAATACATGCCTGTTGCCCAGCTCTCTAGCGTAGTTGGCTAAACCGAATTGCGTGGAGACCGGGTGACGAAACATCGTAGTCTGGGTTCAGTTCCGGGGGTAGGCAGAAAGGCCACATTTCTCCCAGATTTACGGTATTTACAATGGAATCAAGGCCGAAAGGTTGCGATATCCATAATACCGAGCCTAAGGGTTAACAACTCATGGCTTCTGGATACTAAAACAAACAATACATGACCGTCTTCAGTTATTTGCTTGCCTTGCCCCCATCCCTCGCCCTCCCTCCCCCCCCCCCCCAAATCGTTACGCTCAACTAGCATCCCCCGAAGGGCGCTTTTGTTGTAATTGTGACTAGGACCAAGCAGCCCTGGAAAGGTCACTTGCAGTTTTTGATGCGATCAAGGGACTGCGTCGTCTCGGGGCAAGGTGTTCGCCTCAAGGGTTAGAGGTTCCGGTTTCAATTCCTGGTAAGAGGATGGTTTCAGGCATGGTGTCCCACGAGAGAGTCCAGACCACGTCTCATGGTTTCAGAATTGTTAACATTTTCCGGTGCCCCCTAAAAAACCGTCTTGCTGCAGAAAACCAACGCTGTTCTTGTTACTAGTCAGCTAAACTAAATTCATGTAGAACTTGAGCTCAGTAATATACGCAATGTCACAATAACGAGTAAAACACTACGCCGGCCACACGACACACAATATAGAAAGCTCTTCGCGAAGACAACACAACCGGACTCCCCTCTGACATAGACCAGCGCGTGTTACAGTTCAGGAAGCATAAATAAAAGGCGAGTTACGCTCCTTTTGGGATGGAAAAAAAAGTAAAAAAGTTCCACCTAATCTCGAAGCCGACGAGATGTGGTGGTATAAAATTAAAGTACCCACTTGTTTGTTTGTCTGTACATTTTAGATATCAGGTGGGCCGCGAAACAGTCTTCCCTGTTTTGGTGAGCCGTGGGTTTAAAAAGGTTGAAGAACACTGATTTACACCACGAAATCCAAAGCAAATAACGGAATTACTTTGTTTATACTTGGTTGATTGGTTCGTGAATCCCCGGGGGGGGGGGGGGGGAAACTTGATGTTAACTCTTAGCTCCACACATTGAATATGATTGAATCTTAAAGGTGCTTCATCATCAAGTGCCTTGCTAGCGGGCGTAGGCGTTCATGCATCTCCGAAAATCTCGGTCTTTGGTATTCTGAATCAATTTCACTGATATTCCTCCAAACCACTATATTGAGCCATCCACGATAATTTCTCTCGGTCTGCCTCTGTCTCTTCTACCAGTGGTCTTCCAGTCATCACGATATTTTCAGAAAGCTGCGCATGGAAGGCATAGCCTACGAGGCACTAGTAATCGATGGGTGGTCAGTATTACGCATACTTCAATATTTATTTCACGTGACTAGCTGGTACCCTTTTAAGTCTGCCGAATATAACTGTTAGTGTTAGACTGTTAGATGGTTGAGCGAGGTTTGTGTGATTTGCTTCTCATCTTTGAGGTGTTCACACTACGGATAGCAACAATAGCCACCACTATCACTAAATATGCATCATCTGGGAACCAAGAACAACAAAGAGACTTCCACAAAATCATTGATTGACCCTCCGAGAGCGGGAAAGAGAAACAATCATCATCATCATTTCCCCCAACAGATGACGTGTCCCGAGGTCAAATCGTGCGGGAAATGTTATACTACCAGGCGAGTCCATGGCAACAACCAATGAGAAATGAGACATCCCACGAAGGCAGCCAATCAGTGGACCAGGTTTGAGAGAACGCGGGTGTTTAGAATGCAGACGTGAAAGATTTCTTTCTGTAGAATCGCGCCCGGAGCCTGGACAAAAGCCGGCAGCTGCAGATCTAGCAAGTCGTTTCTTGGAGTCGCGGCAGAATTTAATCCACAAATAATCTTAGGAAATATCTTTTCAGAGCACCAGACTTAAATCGTTGGTTCCTACTTCCTGACAGTTTGGTGCAGGATTCTTCCTGTGAAAACGCGCCTGGAGCAAAGCCATCAGCAAACCTTGTATTCGTTTCCAAAGTTGGCAGGGTCTAGCGGAGCTGTTTGTTGGATTCTGCAGGTCTATCCAGGTCGTTTTTTTCTTGTCAGCTTGCTACATATTTGTCGTTTCAATATGCCTGCTAACACAGTTGGACACGAAGAAGAATTAGTTTCTCTCACTAGGAATGCAAAGATTGCGGACGAAAATGAGGTAACTATTTAATTTACATTTATTAGAGGCGACATTTAAAAAAAAAAAAAAAACGTCTTTAGAGTTTGGTTGTAGTGAGACTTAGTCTTCATAAATTAACTATAACAACAGCAAAAAAAATTAATAAAATTATCGTTTGTCTTTTACTTCTAAGTTAACTAACGAAATTATAGACATACGAAAAATAATCTGTGTTGCCAGCCACTGCCACTACTTGTCCTATCAGGGTGTCCGAATTCAATTAGCTGTTATTTATATTTATATTCTTATAATAAATAAAATAATAATTCTCATTTTGTGATTATTCTGTCATGTTGTGTATATCACTATATGTATAGTGAAGTGATCACATCCTGTTCAAGTTGAATTTAAAGAAAACAATGTCCACATACAACAGAACTGCATGTCAGCCAAAAATAACAATAAATGATGAAATTGATGTCACAGAGTTAAAGTTATACCTAGTCTCTGTCACTGTCACTAAACAGAAACGGAGACTCAACCGTCACAAGTGGAAAGGATGGCTGTAACAATGCATAGATAAAACAGCAAAGTCTATGGTTGTGAGAACCAGCAAGCAAGGAAGTCAACATTTTGATAGCATTTGGTCAGCATGCATCTTCCTATAAAAACACAGATGTCAAGTCATGGACTATCTCAGTCCTGCCTTAAGGAAGAGAAAGGCAGAAGAAGAAAGATAAGAGCAGCGATCTGCAATTAAACTGCTACACGATAGTGATGATGTGCATCTTTTTTCCCTCTTGCAGCTTATTTGTGAAGTCATAGGCCTGTTAATAATATTGAGATATGAAAGAAGGTAATTCAGTTACAGCCTAATAGATTTATTATACAACTAATACAGTGCAGAACTGGTGAGAACTCAACAGGGACCCAAGAATGGTTCTTCTTATTAGAAATTCCTCTTATTCATATGTGTATTGCCCATCAAGATGATGATGACCACTCTTTTTCATCCAGTATGAGTAGGAAGATGGCCGATGTGGGCCGGAAAAGTTCTTGGGCAATGAGGACAGGGAATGAGTGTTGTGCCAGGGAGGGCATCTCCTGCAGTTGTCTTTCTGTCCATCCTTTCTTGTCTTGCTGTTCTGTTTGCTTCACGTGTAGCCACGCCCTCATCCTAAATGCTTTGAGTTAAAACTTCAAGGTTCCTTAAAGCGTTTCTTTTGCTCGCCTTGGGAATGTTTGAATGTTTCCCATTTTGCAGCTCACCAAAGAAGTGTTTTTTTTTTTTTTTTTTTTTTTTTTTTTTTTTTTTTTTTTTTTTTTTGAGAGCCTGTGATCTGGCATGCGTGCCACATGACCAGCCCAATGAATTTGCTACTGCATCTGTAGATGTGGCTGCTGGGCATGGCTGCTTTCTCAAGGACTACGTTATCAGGTACTTTGTCTTGGCATCTGATCTGCATTAGTTTTCTATGATAGTGTGAAACTGGTTTAACTTTCTGGCCTGGCGCTGTTATACAGTCCATGTTTCGCATGCGTACAGCAGTGTAGTTAATACAACTGCTCAGTAAACTTTAAGCTTTGTCTGCAGGGTTATGCCACTTCTGTTCCAAACATTTTTGTACAATCTGCCAAAGGCAACGCTTGCCCTAGAGATCCTTGCATTAACTTATAATAACTTGGTCATCAATTGTGGCACTCTGTGAAAGGGTGCTGCCTAGATAAGTACACTTCAAAACATTTAATCTGGCCCTTACTGTGATATTGGGCTCGATGTATCTTTGCCGTGGGGCTGGCTGGTGCATGGCTACAGTTTTGTCTTTGTTGATGGTGAGCCCAAAGTTGGTACAGGCATCACTGAATTTGTTGATGTTGTGCTGCTTATCCGCTGTGTTGGCATCATAAAGGGCACAATCATCGGCAAACAGGAGCTCCCTGATGGTGTCTGGTTGAGTTTTTCTTTTTGCTTTGTCTCCTGAGGTTGAACAGCTATCCATCCATGCAGTACTTATTCATGTAATAATTCAAGCAAAAAATATTGCTCTGGGTTAAGAAATTGTTCTTCACAACAAGACATTTGCGATATGCGACATCGCTTGAAGCCAGTGGTTCTCAACTTTTCTAATGCTGCGACCCTTTAATACAGTTCCTCATGTTGTGGTGACCCCGAACAAAAAAATTATTTTCATTGCTACTTCATAACTTCAGTGAATATGTGTTTTCCGATGGTCTTAGGCGACTCCTCTAAAATAATTGTTCGCTCCCCAAAGTGGTCGCAACCCACAGGTTGAAACTGCTGCTTTTAACAGTGCATTGTATATTGTTCTAGTTCACTTGTAAAGTACTTATATTTCTAGCATACCTTTAGTCCTAACTGAATAAATCTCTTTGCATTGCACATTAATTTGTGCTCATTAGTTATATACTTGTTATTTCTGAAATCGCAGGCTCCAAGTTCAGTTCCTGCCAGTTCACACCGAAAACCATTGGGAACCAGTCTCTTGCAGGTATGTAACGAGACGCTATTTTTATATGTGTGTATATATATATATATATATATATATATAGGCTCTCCTGTCAAATCCGGACGAAGAATAAAAAGCCGTGGACGACTTAGTCAGAGTTCTCTCCCGTGGCCGCACTCCAAACAGTGATCGGAAAACAAACGAAACAAACGACACACTTAGCTATCATCCTGCGGTAGCGTGTAGGGCTGCGTACGGTTGCGTGAGGCATCGTGAAGGGATGCGTGGTCATCATATGGTTGCTTGCAGGGTTGCGTACGGTTGCGTGAGGCATCGTGAATGGTTGTGTAGTCATCATGCGGTTGTTGGGTTAGGGTTAGGGGTAAGGTTTAGGGTTAGGGCTAGGTTCAGGGTTAGGGGTAGGGTTAGGGTTAGATGTGAAAATTTTGACGTAGGATTTCGAAATACTGGCCGACAATCTGATGTTTGTGGGAGTGGCGCCACTGAAACTCTACCAAATATGACGCCAATAGCGTGCGGCTGGTGCCCCCAATCGTTGGCGAATTGTGCGTTTGACCAGCATCCAGAGGCCCTCGAGTGTTTGTGTGTGTGTATGGGACCTTGCGCGATTATAGGGAACTCCGGCGTCAAATTGTCAAATCTAACGCTAAACCTAACCCTACCGCTAACCCTAATCCTACTCCCTAACCCTAACCCCTACCCCCTAACCACGCAAATTTATCGATCATTAAAGCATACAAATCGGCAAACACCAACAAACAAAATACACCAAAAAAAAAAAACACCCAGAATTGTCCTGCAGATCTGGGGGAAACAACCAAGCATTGGCAGCCCTGATGTCGACGTGACTGTCTTCTTTGTTTCGTTGTGGCTTTTCCGATCACTGTTTGGAGTGCGGCCACGGGAGAGAACTCTGACTAAGTCGTCCAAGGCTGTTTATTCTTCGTCCGGATTTGACAGGAGTACCATATATATATATATATATATATATATATATATATATATATATTATATAATATATATATATATATATATATATATATATATATATATATATATGTGTGTGTATCCTATGCTATTGTATACAGCTCTCCCCATGTTCTTTCATTCAAAGGAAATATTCTGCAAAAATGTGTATTCTTCCTCTTCTTTTGTCTTCCACTGATACCAGGTTGTAGCCCAGTGTCGTGGTTTTCTGTATTTGTCTTGCCCTTGTCGGGTGGCTTGAGTGATGGATTTGCTCATCTTTTTGCAGGTTTCAGCTACACTGTTTATCCATATCTTTCATGGTCTTCCTCTCACCTTCCTCCCAAATGTTCTACTGTATAAAGTTTCATATGCAGTCTGGTCTGGCTGCATTCTCACTAGATGGTCAAACCTTTCATTCTTTGCCTGTCAATATAATCCAGACATTAATTTTTCCCAACTTTCTATCTAATGCTCCTATTCATAACCCTGTCTAGTCTAGTGTTGTTAGTTACTTTGCTGAGACAGCGCATTTAACATGTAGTTATTTTCTGTTCTAGTGCACTATTCATTGTACATGTTTGGCACTGATGACATAAAGTAGGGATAAAGATGCTATTGATTATTTGCTGTTTTGCTGGAAGGGAGACTTTTGGGTGTCTAAGCAGTGGGGCTAACTGGTAGGTGACAGCATCTGCCTTCTGTACTCTGGCTTCTATCTCCGTCGAGTCTGCCATCCTCCGTAAATATTCTTCCTAGATATTTGAATTCTCGTACTTGTTTGATTGTAGTACCGTTAACATAAACGTTCATGATTTATAATAATTGTTATTAAATGATCCAATTGGTTGTCGTAAGTGCTTCTCACAATTATCCATATAGCACTCAGTTTGACATGCCTGGTCTTGCCTGCCAGGTATTGTTTGTTACTTTCGTTGCAGACCGTGAGTTGGGAGTCTAATAAGAGAGAGAGAGAGAGAGAGAAACTAGACCTCATCTCTATGCTGTGCTGAAGCATGACCTAAATGCCAGCTGTCAGATGTGAAGTATAGATCTTGCACACACAACTGGTGTCTAAGAGCTGTGCAACTCAGTTCCTGGGAAAGCAGTATTTTAACTCCCAAACCATGTCATTAAAGAGTCAGCTAACTTGGTGATTCCTTCAAGGTCATCTGCCTGAGATGCAAGGAACCAACAGGCTGCAAACAAATAAACCGGACGCATAAAAATGGATGTTGATGTAGCACTAGGGTTCTGAAAATAGACTGAAGTCCAGACTTAGATGAACAAACAGAACTTTTTGCTGGAATTTAAAGCTGGTGAATGTGAAGTACTGTAATACCTAGGTTGGAAGAATGTATCCTGCCTTCACTTCGATAAGTGGAAGCTCTTGTTGTTCAGACAACTTAAATATCAATGCATTACTTAGTTAAATGTGCTCTATAGTTATTTTACCGTGTTTCTGTGGTTTTTTTTTTTTATTCTTATTTTCCACTTTATGCAAGTATTTTGTGATTTTTCTTTATTTTACTGTTGAATTTTTGTTTCAGAATGTTGTATCTGCACAAGATGCAAAGAAAGATGAACATTTAAAAGAGGTGAGATTGGCTGGCTATCACTTGAACACAAATGATCATTAGTTCAGCTGATTAACTCCTGATTTTACTAAAGGGTTCTGGTTCGACATGGGAGACCATACTTGTGGTCAGGCATAGATTCTGCAAGCCTCTCTGCCACTTCAATATGTGTAGACCAGGGATTTTAAAGTCCAGTCTGGGGGCCGAGTCCCAGTCTAGATAGATATTGGGGTGTAAAAATATCTATGGGTGAACCCAGGGCCAGAGCGTCACGTATCGGCTATTTATTTATGGAAACCTCTTGGGTGGCGATGAATGTCTTTAATCTGCGCCTGCCTTCCTGTGAGGGCTGAAGAGTCTACACACGATTGCCCTGGATGGGTTTTCAAGGAGCAACACCTGTAGATGAAGGAACAAAGAGGACACCACACACTTAAGGCAATATCATGTCCTACAAAACCAATTGAGTGAGCTAACCTGGTGAACAAGTGCGCACCGAAGTCAGATGTGTCAGCCAAAAGGTGAAAATATGGGGGTGACATATTGCTTCCCCATTTTGTTGAGCTTTTTAGTCAAATTTCTCTGGAATTCTTCAGCCAAAAGGTGCATATACTGCAGTTATGCTTTAAACTGGCGTATAAATACCGTACTATTGGCAATATGGGGGGGGGGGGGGGGGCAGATTTGACCTGCGGGCAGGCAGTAGAGTAGCCCTGGTGGAGACACATTTATTGCATTGATGTAACAGTAGCTTCCTAAATATACTGTTTATATATTATATTGTTAATGTATTCTTTTGCTGTTTTATATATAATCACATTTTTTTCCTGGCTATTCATGTGTATTTGGGAATGACAAGGCAGATAGGTTGGCTGGGCTGACCCCATTTGGAGGTGTACAACTGCACAAGACAGAAGTGATCTTGTTTGTCGGACTGAGTAACAGGTAAAATGAAAGTAGTGAAAACCCACATCTGGAGGAAATATTGCAGCAGGGAGTGCCACTCAGAAGGAGAGGGCGGATGTCAGGATGAGTAGTTAACCAGATAACAATGGGTACCATCAGTACAGACTCTGTGCTGGCTGTTGAAGAGGGAGACAATGGTAATGTGAGCTTGTCCTGAATACTGTAATGTCGAGTCTTTACTTTTGCAGGCAGTAAAACCTACCAAGGCAGCTCGCAACAGTCACCTAGACGAACCTCTGCTAAGGGAAAACCCTGGCAGATTCGTCATATTCCCCATCCAGTACCATGACATCTGGCAGATGTACAAAAAAGCGGAGGCATCTTTCTGGACGGCCGAGGAGGTCGACCTCTCCAAGGATCAAGACCACTGGGAGAAACTCAAGCCAGAGGAGAAACATTTCATCTCTCACGTCTTGGCCTTCTTTGCTGCTAGTGATGGCATTGTCAATGAAAATTTAGTAAGTTGGATTTATATAATTGTTGGATGTTAAATTTTACATTTTGGATTACATTTTACTTCTTTATAAGTGCAGGTTTGTACTTGTTTCAAAGCCTACCTCCTGAATATTAATTTGTTGCCTAATAATTTGTTTAGCAAGACATTGCTTATTACATTTTGTACTCCAAATGTTAAAAATGCTACATTTATTTTTAATGAATTTTCAGAGACAAGACTTTTAAAAGGAAAACAGTCTCCTATTTTAAGACACTAGTAGTTTTTAAAAAAATTAAGTCAATTTTTGGCCGTTGATATCCGGGACATTAGAAATGAGACCCTGGTGTGTGAAAATGATACGAGCACTTATGCTAAAGTTGTATAATGGTTAATACACTTGCCCTTAAAAACTGGCCTAGGCTCAACTCCAGCGGAGGCAAGATTATTTTAAATTATGTATCCCAGTTGTAACCCGGAAGGGTTGACAGCTTAAATTGCTACTGCTCTAAGGATTATTTTTGTGTGTGGCTTTTTTAATCTCAATTATTGGCATGAGGGTAATATACTGAAATGAGTAACACATATATGCATTGCATGTTTTGGAAAATGAAACTGCTGTCTTGCGCTCAGAGTTCCTTGTATCACTTGATAAGACTCAGATAAGAAGCTTAAATTTTTTTCCCAGGACATTCACGCGTCTTATTCTTCTTTACGTTCTCTTTTACCTTTGTGGGTGTCGAGGAAGATATAAGGTTCTTCTTCGTGCTCTTCTGGTTGCTTCATCCATAGACACATTGTGGTGCTGTAGAGTTTCTCTAATGTTATCTTCCCATGTTATTCTTGATCGACCTCTTTCCCTACATCCCTCTTATCTTTTTGGGAATTAATAGGCTGATAGATTAGTTGCTGCAACCACTTTGGGCGATGAGATACTTTATGATAAAGCAGATGTGATGAATGGTACATGAGATGAAGTTTACAGAACGGACTGCAAACATATTTGTAGAGAATGATTCAGCTGGCAGTGAGCAGAGGGTGTGACAGATTTTCTGCCTGTGGAGCGAAAATAGCAAGTCTTCATCAGGTTGCAACTTGTGGCATTAGTAGGGAACTGTTCATTGGCTCCTGGCAAAGGGGATGGAGCTTGCAAGGAAGTCTTGAGTTCAGTGACGGGAAAAAAGTACAGGTGACACAAAAACTGCACACAAAAGAGTTCAATGGGAGCAGACTCTAAAGTGGACCAAGAAGACAGTGGTAAAGTAATGTACATGTAGACCTACAAACATTTGGGGTCACTATCTGAAATCCCTGTCTGGGTTCCGGGGTCCCATTGTGGGGAAGTAGGAATGGATCCACTGCCTACCCAACAAGAGTGTCTTAACCCTACCAGACCTAAGGCCCTGAACCTAACTGTCCCTAAAACCTGAGCTCCTGGGCATTACCGCGAAAAAACTATGATATACAAAAATATTAGTCACATGCAAACGAGTGGCTAGAATATGATGAAACTTGGAGACATTGTAGAAAATTGGCTTACCTTTTATCTAGCGCCAATATTCCACCTTATTCACTCATCAGGATCAACTTTGTTTCACAAAGTGAACACCAGATGTTGCTGTTTGATGGACACACCCCCCTACTCCTACTATCGATCTATTTCATGATTGATAATTTTCAAGATTTTCCTCATCATTCGTGCTCTCACTGACAGTGTCACTTCAAGAACGTATTCTTTATAAAATTATCACATAATGAATATATATTTATATATCACAGAGTCTGAATAAACCAAAATATCGATCACCTGTTGAACTGTGAAAAGCCTAGAACTTGGTTCATCAGCCACTCGCTTTATTCTGAATTTTCCTAAATTTTTCGTGTTAAAACACACAAAATTGATTCACACACACACGGGGAAGCCATTTGCAATGTCTAACAAAGCGGACTGACGATTGGTTGGTTATTTTTAGTCAGTGGCGCATCTTTCTCACGCACTATGCAAATAGCCGAAAAGTAGGGCCAGCGGTATGGAGAACAGTTATGAAATTCCTGGGAAACCGGGCCAGCGGTCTGGTAGGGTTAAGGGTCGACTAACTGGGAGCTTCTTTCAAAGTCGGAAGGTGTCTGCCCGAAAGGCAAGGAACTAACAGTCTGCATACAAATAAGAAAGATCTGTAAAACAGATGCACATGCAAAACGATTTGATCTGGTGATCTTTTGCTGTAGTGTTGATGTTTTATCCTCTACAGGTGGAGCGGTTCAGTAAAGAGGTCCAGGTGACTGAAGCCAGATGCTTCTATGGATTCCAGATTGCCATGGAGAATGTTCACAGTGAAATGTACAGCCTGCTTATTGATACTTATGTCAAGGATAAAACAGAAAGGTAAGAACTACTTGAAAATTTTAGTTGAATGTAGAATAAATTATTTTAGATGACTGGATCCCCATGTGATTTTCGGGGTCCCATTATGGGGGGAGAAATATTGCTGGAGAAAATGAACTAGAGACTGTTAAAACACTGAATGTCCGAAAAGAATCAGCTGAGAATAGGGACTAGTTATCAATTAAGATAAGACAGAATACATGATAATAACTAAGGATATAAACTGCGGCCACATACAAGTCGATAATATAAAAATCAAGCGAACGGAAACATATTAGTACTTGGGTGCAAACTTCAACTGCTCCAACATGCTGAGAGAAGAAAATACAATCTGGAAATAAAGTAGACTATGTCCTTCATCTGCTAAAGTCAAAGTGTCTGTCTCGCAACACCAGATGAAAATATGTAAAACGTTAAGACCAGTCATTTTATATGGCTCTGAAACTTGGAGCACAACTAAAAGGGATGAGGCCTTATTACAGGTTTTCGAAAACAGTCTTACGATGAATCTTTAGACCCATCAGCTGTGAATGGAGAGTGAGAAGCAACAACGAAATTCATAAACTGTTTAAATCACCATTGATCACTGGCATCATGAGAGCAAATAGACTGAAATAGTTGGATCACATTGAAAGAATGTCAGATGACAGAAGTAAGAATTGTATACGCGAGGGAGATGAATGGTCGTAGACCACAAGGGAGACCAAGAAGACGATGGAGAGATAATATCCAGAGAGAGACCTGCAAACACTCTGCGTCACCAACTGGAAAGAGAAGGCCAAGCAGAGGGATGAATTGAGGCAGGTGATATTTGCAGCAGTGAGCTCGGAATGCTGAAGAAGAATTATGGGGGGAGAAAATAGTAAGACCCAGTGTCCCCCAACAAGCATGTTTTAACAAGAGACTAATTAGGGGTTTCCTTCAAAGTTAGTGTACATCTGTCTGAGAGCTGAGTCACCAATAGTCTGCATGTACATAAGCCAGATCTGTAAAATTTCTGGGGCAAGACTGATTTGATTTGATTTGATTCAAGAACCGACATCACTGCACTCTGGGCATTCCCATAAGCGCTCCGTCCCCATCTTCAGCAGCCAGCGAAGAGTTCCGATACTAATGGTGCCAGTAGCTTTCTGAAATCAACTGCATCAATCTCACCAATCTGTGGTAGATGTCCCGTCTGGGGCAAGACTTGAGGCCAAACCAAACCACAACTTTTCACCAAAATTTACAGCAGGTAAATGTGAAAAAGAAAATGACCGGAGAGGAATGGTTAGCATCTAAATTCGTAGAAAGTCTACCTACATATTGCAGAAAGAAGATGAAATGCTTAAAAACGGATAGGCTCCAGTTGAGATATTGAATCACACTAGACAAGTCTCACTCACTATCTCCAAGTGGGGTTCTTAATGGAGGGGAGGTGGGGTGGTTTAAGATAGATCCACTACCCCCTAATAAGCGTGTTATAAAGGTGACTGTTTTCTTTAGTTACTTTTTATGATACCCCTATCTCGCATGTGAAAAGGGGAGCCACACAGCTCCGGATAAAATTGTTATGGCTGGCTGAAACACCTCATGCCACTCTGATTGTGTTTGTACATGGCATCTGGGAGTTTCATTAGCTTTGATATTTTAACCTTCTTTCTCAAATATTCTGGCAAACAAGCACTAAAATAGGAAACAGACTCAGAAAATGAGAACATCCAAAAGAAAGCCTAAGGTGAGCTTTGATGAGAGAAGCCAAAAGTGCTTCCTTCCCTGGATTCTGGCCGTGATATTGAAATAATTGCATTGGAGAATGACTGAGCCATCTGTGTCATAATAATGGGAACAGCATAATGATTCTTATTCTGCGTTCGACATCAGTTATGCTAAACGTTAAGTCCCGTCTGGGTCACAAATAGGATTGTGCGTTTAAGGTCGCCACAGGTCCCCCATAGCTTCTTTTGCAATGTGGCTCCCTTGGGCCAGATCCACAGTCTTTGCTGTGAGAAGTTAGGGCAGTACTGTAGTATATGCTCAGGGGTCTGTCTGTCTGCTACACAATCACAGGCAGCAGATTCTTTTATGCCTATCCTGTGCAGGTGTGCTCAAAGACCAGTGTCCTGTCCGAAGTCTAAAAATTGCTGTTTGTTCTTTCCTGTTGAGTTTGTTCATGCTAGCATGATAATGATGAACTAGGCTAGCCAATGTTTTTTGTTCCTGTTGCAGGGAGTTTCTCTTCAATGCTATTGAAACATTACCATGTGTGACCAAGAAGGCAGACTGGGCTATCAAATGGATTGGTGATGACAAGGCTCCTTACAGTGAACGAGTGGTGGCTTTTGCTGCAGTGGAGGGCATCTTTTTCTCCGGATCCTTTGCAGCAATTTTCTGGCTGAAGAAACGTGGAATCATGCCTGGGCTTACTTTCAGCAATGAACTTATTAGCCGAGACGAGGTCAGTAAACGTGCCCTGTCAAATTGTTTGTTTATAAGTATGTTGAGGGCCCGTACTCCAGGAAGGCTAGCCCGGTGAATAAATGCCTCACGAAGTGTGATGAGTTGGCTGCAAGGCACACATTTTGGAGCTTTTATTGTGCAATTATATCTCTGATCCACAATATAAAAAGCCGAGGGGAGGGGGGCCTCAAAGTTCTGGTTGTTCGCCCTACTTTTACATGCATGCACATGTTTTATAGACATAGCTTATGTGTTGGTTCCCTGCCTCTTGAGCAGATATACTTCAGCTTTCAAGGAAACACCTCTTTTACGACATGTTAGTTAAGTAGGTAGCTAGGCTTTTGAACCCACATTTAACGCTTTTAGGACAGGTGTTGTCAGCCTGAGAATATATGTTTGCGAACGGTGCAGGTTAGGTTGTTTATTTTTGCCCTCTGCAAAGATATGTCCTGACCTGTATCAAGGTTTTAACACAGGTCTCCCACAAGAATGTTGAATATTGGGGGGGGGAAGGGGGTTGCACTTGTGTTTAGAGACCAACTTTCTCTCCCCATAGAAAAGTTTATCTGCAACATTCACCCTACCGTAAATAATACAGAAGGTTTGTCATACGTGTTGGGGGCAATTGTTTGCTTTTGTGTTTAGAGACCAACTTTCTCTCCCCATAGAAAAGTTTATCTGCAACATTCACCCTACCGTAAATAATACAGAAGGTTTGTCATACGTGTTGGGGGCCTGTGCCCCACTGGTGGATACATGACAGGGGAAGGAAAATGTTAAGAATAGTATGATTATGATCAGTGGCAAGCAGGATGTTGTCAATGCACTTTAGGAGGGAATGAGTGAACAGTGTAGAAGCACAAGTAGATCATCAAGGTATGAAAAGAATAGTAGAGTGGGGGGTGACCAGGGCATCTGACCGACACTCAACAGAAGGGCAAGACTGACATACAATCAGACTGTCATTGGTACTATCAGAATTTGAACTCTAGCTACTGAGGACGAGGACATGGCACTTCTGGATGTGCTATCAGGTCATTTCTTCACACCCCCGTGTGGGATCCGGGGCCCCATTGTAAGGGAAAACAAGAATAGACCCACTGCCTCCCCAAAAGCATGTCGTAAGTGTCGACTAATTGGGGAGCTTCCTTTGAAGTCGGAGTGCATCTGCCGGAGAGGCAAGGAACCAACAGTCTGTATTCAAGAGAATGAGATCTGTAAAACTGATGCACACGCAACACTCAGGTTCTGGAGCAGGACTGCAGTTCAGTAGTGCACGAGCAACCAAAACTTTCCGCCAGAGTGTACAGCTGGTGAACGCGAAGAAGAAGATTTCTTCACACAGCTCAATTATGATACAGTTGGAATACATGTTTATTTTATTAATTTCTGGTCCCTAACAGGGTTTGCACTGTGATTTTGCCTGCCTCATGTTCAAGCACCTGGTCAACAAACCATCACAAGAGAAGGTGTATGAGATCATTCGAGACGCTGTCCAGATTGAGCAGGAGTTCCTCACGGATGCCCTCCCTTGTAACCTCATTGGCATGAACTGTGACCTTATGAAGATATATATAGAGTTTGTGGCGGACAGACTTCTTGTGGAGCTAGGCTTTGGGAAGGTAGGATGTTCATTGTTGAAGTACATGTCTTTAGCATTTAGAGCCCCTGAGAACATACATACTCCTTGACACACATACATACTCCTTGACACACATACATACTCCTTGACACACATACATACTCCTTGACACACATACATACTCCTTGACACACATACATACTCCTTGACACACATACATACTCCTTGACACACATACATACTCCTTGAGTGCCAGTTAATATGTATTCGTATTTTTCAACCCTTTTCGGGTGACATCTGCTTAAATATATGGCAGTACCTTGACAAAAAAATTTATTTAAAAAGGCTTCCCCTCCCCCAGTAAACAATCCTCTTATATATTTTACGGCAGGTGTACAAACTGCAAATAAAAATCACATCCAGGGCTTGTTGTTTTATAAATAGATTTTTACAAATGTGTATGGTTAAACTGAAGCAGTGTTAGCATAACTGATTATTGCAAGTATAAATGAAGTTTCAAAATTGCCAGGCACCCCTCTTGAAACTTCCTAATTTCCCCGGTGGGAATTCCTCACCCCACATAAGGTGGGTACACTAGGTCCAGTACATACAGATGTACAAGGTACCCTTATTGTTAGTGATTGTGTGTTTGTTTCATTTTACCTCCACATATCTTCAGCACTGTCTAATACTTTATTCCCTTACTGGTTTGGCTGAGTCCTGGAATAAACAGACAATATCCTAAATAGAAATATTTGATGTATAATTAACCCCTGTTATTCTCTTTCACAGATTTACAACTCTGAGAATCCCTTTGACTTCATGGAGCACATATCTTTAGAAGGCAAGACAAACTTTTTTGAAAAGAAAGTTGGAGAATACCAGAAAATGGGAGTGATGAACAAAACCACTACAAGTCATACATTTTCCCTTGATGAGGATTTCTGAGGGTGGAATCTTGTTTTTGTACATGGCTACAGGAACCTCCTGTGTGTACATATGTGAAACCTCTTGTGTGTTCATGTAAGAAGGAACCTCCTGTGTGTACATATGTGAAACCTCTTGTGTGTTCATGTAAGAAGGAACCTCCTGTGTGTTCATGTAAGAAGGAACCTCCTGTGTGTACATATGTGGAACTTCCTGTGTGTGTGCTGCTATGTTCAGACTATGGGACCAGATATATTTTATTTGATGCTTTTGCGAACCAATGTAGATAATAGTGCGATCCGCTGGTTTAAATGCCTGTAATATTTATGTAAATCTCATATTTCCTTTTGCTGCACTGCAAGCAAATCATTTAGAATGTAAAACCACAATATTGATTTCTTTGGTTAAAATTATACTGTGAGCAAGATATTGTGGAGGAAGGCAAGCTGTATTTTATTTCTTTTTACTAGTTCTGTGAGAGACTGGACAAGTTGTATAAGAAATATATTAAACTGACTGGGTAAAGACACTCACTAAATATCAACTTCATTGTCCGTGCTGTATAAAGTTTATTTAGGAGATGTTATAAGTGGGTAAGAGACTTCTTGTGTTCCATTCCCAGTTGCTCAGGGAATCAACTCAACAATTCTGTTTTCAAAGGGTTTAGAATTTGGCATGCAGGCAGGTCTTATCTCTGCCCTCCTGAAGTTGTCTGCTTATTGGTGAAAGACACCTATAACCTAACTTCCATTCCAGTGCACTGATTTTATCCGCTGTTAAATGATGGCTGCTGCAGTTAAATTTGTTTAGATTAGGAGTCTGTAAAATAGTTCACAACCCTATAGGCTTGGTAACAAAAAGTCCTAATCAAAGTTTGTTATACGTGAGAGTACCTGTCAAATGCACACGCTGGGGGGGGGGGGGGGGGGGGGGGTATATACTATATAAACTGCTGTTTTCTTTTTTATTCAGTTTTTATATAAACCCCATTTTTTTTTTCATGCATCCATATAATTTTATTGTATATTATCTTACAAGCACAGGTGACAAATGTTATCAATATTGTGTTACACGCATTTTACTTTTTTTTAAAATATTTCTCATGCTCGCTGTCTCGCTAATGTTCATTTATAAGTTTGCACACGGCAGGAATATCGCAAATAATTGTCCAAAATCCATTTTGTCCAGAAGATTCTGCATTCATCACATGGTCAGGGACTATTTCTTTTTCTTCATTGATGTAGATTTTTTAGCATTGTGGGCAAAACAATGTGCAACACTACCAACTTTACAACTGGTTCCTGATTAGCTGTTTTGTTAGATTAATTTGTTGCTGCCTTGGCAGTGCCAGACTACATGATTTCACGGGCCAGACATTCCCTTCCTTAATTTATTAGACTGAACTGTCTGATCATGTCCTATTCTTATTCCATCTCTTCAGCTCCACATAAGTCAGTCACAAACATTCTTGAATGTGAAATAGGTTTGTCTAGGGTATCCTGATTCTCTATTGTTCTGCAACCATCCATGCATTAATTCTAAATCGTACCAGACAACATGTTATATGTCAGTTATTGGTGGTATTAAACCACCCTGGTTTTTGTTAATCTCTACATTACATCTATTGTGGCATGATAGTTATATATATATATTTAAAAAAAAGGCATGAAAGACAGTATATGTTGCCTCTGAGTTATGCATCAATGCTTATTTTATTTTTTAGATTTTAGCAGATGTTACATAATATTCTAATGTTGAAAGAGGTAATAACTGCCTCACTGCGACCAATCATAATTTTGTTTATGTTTGCAGGGTTGCTTTTTTTTTTTTTTTTTGTAAATTTCAGTCTTCTTATAGTTCACTCAAGCATCCGGGAAGTTTAGTGAATCTCTTTCTCTCCCCCCCCCCCCCCCCCCCAAGGGCAACATGTAATTTCAAAGCAAAAATTATGATTATCATAATTGAAATTCAAATCTGTAATTGGTGATAACAGAATTCCTTGTTTAACCTCTATCACAGCCTAGATCTCTCTCTCTCTCTCTCTCCTTCCCCTCCCCCCCCCCCCCCCCCCCCCCCCATCAACTGTTTGAGGGACACACCCACTTCTCTTACTATCGATCTAGATCTATAAGGTTCACGATTCTCCTCATCACTCGAGCTCTCGGCCTATGTCATTTGAGCTGGAAACATAATCTTGTTGAAATCCTGACTCCTCAGAGACTGAATCAAACAAAGAGTATTGATTAACTGTTGGACTGGAAAGCCTAGAGCTACTTCGCTTCCCTGTTGAAGGGCTTGGTTCATCTGCCAATTCATTGTGAATTTTCAGAATTCTTTTCACGTTAAACCACGTCAATCCAAACAAATGGGGGCAGCAATGACTAATCATGAACTTTGAACACGATTAGTTGGTTACTTTTAGTTTGGCACATTTTTTCCCCCACGTAGTATCTAAAATTAGGTCAAGCGGTACATTGGTCTGGTAGAATAAAAGCAGTTCAATTAATTTGAAGTCTTTTCTGTACATCTTATTCTCTGTAGCTGACTTTAACATCTCAAGTTTCTGAGTTCCTTTTTTTTTTCAGTCATAGTGCTGTGGTGGCTCTTAACTTCCTTGTTTTCCCTACTCTGGAATGCCTCGCAGCATCAGGGCAGGAAGAGGTCTCTGGACGCTGCAAGGCCGTACTATAGGCAGCAAAGAAAGTGCTATGAACCAAACACATGTAGAAGTGATTATTTTTGTGTATGTAAGATCAGTATTGATCTTGGGGATATTTATCACATTGTAAAGAATACCAATACTAATTATTAATGATCAGTAGATAGTTGGGCAGAATGCTAACATTCTGACCTAATTGTAAATTTTGAGTGTACATATATATTTCTATTTATCTCCATTTTTTAGGTCATTTTTTGACCTTTGAAATGTGTAATTAATCAGCTGCAACACTGCCATTGCTCACTGGGATGATGTTTTCATTGATTTTAAACATCTTCGACAGTTGACTGTTTATATCATTTTAAAGTATCCCAGCCAGCTCTTTTAAGGTTATATTATTGTAAACACTTCTGTAACTTTCCTTGTTTGAAAACATTTGTATAACTCACTGCAGATGTGTGTGTGCGTTGTATAAATGATGTGACACTCCATGTCTGGCACATATTAACTTTATGATGCAGCATTTTTATTTGGCAATATGCAGATGTTAATTAAATGAATTTAAAAAAAAAAATCAAACTTTTTGTTTACCTCTTCCCCCCTCTCAGCATCTGTAGACCAAGTTTGTGTGTGGGTAGTAATTATTTACTTCCATAGCTCAGTACCTAAATGGATTTTGTGGTTATTTTAGGCTCAGGTAGGAAATGAATCGTGGATGCTGAGGCAATTAGTGACAAATTATTTGAAAGCTTCTTCTCTTCTACCTCAGCGAAGTGTCAGGGGGAGATGAAACATTCATTGATGAGCTCTGTCAAGAGCATTATTAAGGCAGGTTTATTTCTGTAAAGCTGTTCGTAATGCCATCACTCCATATTTTCTGAGGTCTTCCACTTGCTCTATACCTGTTGTAACATTTTAGTGTGGCTCGCTGTGGCAGATAGTACCAGGGCATTCTTGTTAGGTGCCCAAACCACTTCATTTGTTGTTCTTTGATGACTTGTAAGACGGGCTTTATTCCTAGCATTCATTATTTGGAAGCAGTGGAGATATAGTTTTTAAAGATAAATGGTGGGAATACCCTAAACAGATATGAAGATATATTGAAAGAAACACCCACGAAGAGAAGTGAGTGTCGACATCAAAAGATGGTCAAGTTATGAGGAGAAAACTGGAATATAGTGTAACTGGGAAGTGTCAGAATTTATAGAAAGTACACAAAACAAAAGGTGTATAAACATGACAACCACACAACATAGACTAAAAAGAAGGAAGTACTCCATCTTCTTATGCCAGTTTGTCAGACTCATCATTTTGCAAGGGGAAGAATCAATTCACTTGTTACCATTTACTGTTCAGTGCAATTGTCAGTATGACGGTTTAATAAAATAAAAAGTACTGAACTCAGTAATTTCTTCCAGTCAGAATTGGATTTCTGAAATTATATGTGATCTGTGGCTAAGATTTGGCAGAAAGGTAGCATTTTATGATCTTGAAAGCTTAAAGCTTTTTTTTTTTTTTTTTAAACGTTTAAATTTGGGGGGGGGGGGGGGGGCTGCAATAGTACGAGAAACACACTGTGGAAGAAATAGGACTCTCACCAGGTAATTTTCACAAAGAAAGCACAGGTACATGGAGGTAAACCTTTGCAGAGATGGAACAGAAATTGTTTTAATACTCAGTTCTACTGCATTCTACAAAAAACCTTGACTTTTGAATTTAAAAAGTAAAACTTGAGGCCAAATAGATGTGGCCGTATAGAAGAATTGAGACCTATATTTGGAAACAACAGAAGTTCTGGAGAGACCTAATTAAAACGGTTGTTAAAGGAGCAGTCACAACAATACTGTTTTGCTCTTGCTCTTCTTTTTCTTAAAGTTCATGCTGTGTGGTGTTGGTCTGTCTACAACCTTCTGTCTCATGTACTTTCAATCAACTCTGACAGAGATGATCTTCCATTCCATGATATCAAACTGTCCAGCATATTTTCTCTCGGTCTCCCTCTACCTCTCTTTCCCTCCAACTTTCCTACTGTCACGATGTACTCCAGTTTTCTCATCATATGACCAATGAATGTAGATTGTCTCTTTCTGAAGTGGACAATCAGTTCTCTTCGTGAGTCAGTTTCTTTCGTTTTCATTACTCTTTTTATCTGTCCAGCGTATTCTCATCATTTGTCTATAAAACCACATCTCTGCAGCTTCCAAATAAGTTTTTACTAACTGTCCATGATTCACATCCATATATTAATAAAGGATTTATACAACTTTTAAGAATTCTCTTTCTTGAGTTGAGTCAAGAACTGACATCACAGTACTCGGGACACTAACGTGCTCTGTCCCCATCTTCAGCAGCCAGCGCAAAG